GGGCAGCCCTCATTGTGGTAGGAATCATTCTGGTCAGCGTGGCCTATGTCAGCTATAAGAAGCCAGGTGAGGAGGTGCTTCCCAGCCCCTTTCTCTCTCACTGCGGGGTGGGTCTGAAATATGGAAAGCGAAGTAGGACGTTACAGGGGAGAATTGACAGTCACATCAGGGAGAAAGGGGGAGCATGGCACGAGAGCAGCAGGAATCCTCTATGGGATATACAGACCTTTCCATTCACTGCTCCAGATGTGCTCTCCCACTAGGAGGGATGTGGGTGTGGGACCTACTGACCTTTCTTCTGCATCTTCTTCCTCATCCCACCGTAGCTGTCAACTGGGGCTCCTCCGTGCAGGCTGGGACATACAACATGGCACTGTCCTACTCTGTCAACCTAACAGAAGTAGAAGACCATGTTAAAAACTTCCGGTAAGCCCAAGTGTCGAGTATGGTGGATTAGAGGTGGGGGGTGCTGAGAGCCAGGGCATCCAGGTTCTCTTTCTGCTCTGGGCGGACAGCGGTGTTACCAAAAACCCAGGACCTTTCAGCCTTTAGAGACAAGACTGCAGCCTGTCTGTGATCAGGATCTCTTTTGCAAGCATAGACACAAAATTCAGGTACAGCTACAATTCCCTGAATGATTTACTCTTGAAACACAAAAGTAAGGTACAGTTATGGTTTCCTTAATGCTCACAACACAGAAAAGAGGCAAGAGACAAACGGACAGCCCAAACTTTTATTATCATGCCTGAAAAGCACAAGAATAACCATTTCAGTGCCTACCTCGTTACCCCCACAGCATAATGCAGATTCCCACCAGCTGGGCAGACTCAGGAGAGGGCCCCAGACTGACAGAGGGCGGTTTCTGCCCATGGCTTGTTCAAGGTTACTCTTTTAGTATTGCAGTTAGGGGTTCTCTGCTGGGTTTTATTCACATTTCTTTGTTTCAATGACCTTTTTTTTTCTTAATGGAACTGAACGAGCTCCCACGTGGACTTGGAAGGGGTCGCCTAGGTGGGACCCACAAGCTTGATGCTCCCTTTTTGTGCTATCACTTATGGCTACAGTGCAAGCTTAGGTGCTAGGCTCAGAGCCTGCGTGTGTCATCACGGTGTTTGAGGCACCGACCGACCGCATCTGAAGCTTTCAGGGGGGTCTTGCAGGTTAAGAGGGAAGGGGCTGGGAGCCAGCACACAGCTCCCCGTAGTATCTCTGGATTTGCTAAGCCCCCCGTTTCTTCCAGACCCCAGTGCCTCGTGCTGACGGGCCCCCCCAGCTTCCGCCCAGCCCTGGTGGATTTCGTTAGCGCTTTCACCAAGGGCGTCAGCCTCATGATTTGCGGCAATGTGGTCGGGGTGAGTACGGCGCTGGTTAGGGCTGTGCGGGAGGGGGCAGGAGCCTGGCGCTCGACCCCTCATGCCCACCCTTGCCTGTCCCCAGCCACAGGATGTCCCTGGGGTCAGTGACTCCGATGAGCACATCAAGTGGCTGAATGCACGCAAGGTGCGCTCCTTCTACACTGTCATCACGGCAGAGGACCTGTGCAGCGGCGCCCGGAGCCTCATGCAGGTGCGAGCGCCCTGCCCCGGCCGGAAGGAGGGGGATGGAGACCTGTGCCTTGCTGCTGTCTGTGTCCTACTCCCCCCATCGCCCTGAGCTGACTGGCGGTTCTCCCCTCATCTCTTCCCCAGGTCTCGGGTCTAGGGCGTCTCAAGCCCAACACAGTCGTATTGGGCTACAAACAGAACTGGCAGACGGACTCGCCCCAAAATTTACAGCGCTATGTGGCCATCATCCAGTAAGGGCTGACTTGGGGGAGCTGAGGTTGGGCAGATGAGGGGCAAGCTCATAGCAAGGCCCCTTAGGCAGCAAGAACAGGGGTGTCCAGGGGGGAGGGAGAGGTATTGGGCCCAGGTGAGGGGCATCGAGGGAGGGAATCCCTAAGTGGATCGGTGTTATTCTGGGGATGCAGAGAGTTGCCCCCTCCCCTGAAACAGAGCTCTGCCCTTGGACACAGGGGAAGTGGATTATAGCGCTGTAACCCTGTAATCCTGGTCTGCCCCTCCCAGTGATGCATTCGACTGCCGGGCCGGGGTCTGCGTGCTCAGGATGAAGGAGGGGATCGATGTGTCTCGGACAGTGCGGGCCTATGGTGAGTGCGTCGCCGGAAGAGCTGCTCAAGAGATGGTGAACACGTACCGGTGCTTAGGGGCACTGGGGAGAGAGCTGGGCTCAAACCCCTCCTCTGCCACAGACTTCCCTTGTGGCCCTGGTCATGACATGGATCCAGACTATGCCATGGAGCTTCTGCCATGTAGCTTTGCTGGCATAGCAACACTGAGGTACACTGAGGTAGCTAAGCTGGCATCGGGGGTGCAGAAGAGGGCTTTGCCTGGCCTGACTCCTGCAGTGTGGGAAGCCGGCGTAACACGTCGGGCAGAAAAAAAAACCCATCAGAAAAACACCACAAGGCCAGCACAAGTATGGCAGCAGCAGGGCCGTGTCAGGCAAGGACAGCCAGGAACACAGGTGAGGATCAACGGCTACACACGCACATGCACACACAGAGCCAGGCCCATTCCCCACAGTGTGGGTGGGCAGGGGCAGGATTTCCCCTACTCCCTCCCCAAAAACCGTTCTTTGCAAGGCCAGGAGAGGCTCCGTCCCACTACAGACCGGGCTGAGGGCCCCGTGGCTCTAACCCCCTCTTCTTCTCCAGTGAACCCCATGTTTCAGGACCCCGAGGCAGCGCTGCAGTGGGACAGGCAGCGCCGGGAGTCGTCAGCCAGCACAGGTACCGGCGCAGGGCTGAAGGGTGCTGGGCACGGATCGCGGGGCTGAGAGGAGGGCATGTGTGTTAGGGGTGGAGCTGTGGATGAGGGGGGCCTATTGGAGCTCGTGTCCCCCTTTCCCAGCCCACTCAACCCCTCTCCCCACAGGCAGCGCTGTCAGGGTGGTTGGAGCAGAGGAGCACATGGAGACCCTCTTCCAGAGCAACCAGAAGAAGAAATGTCTGGATGTGTACTGGCTCTTCGATGACGGGGGTGCGTAGCAGCTCAATCCCAGCCACCCCTTGACCAGGGGCCGGTTGCAGCCAGTGTCCTATTCTGGTCCCTGGGATGGGGATGCCTGGTCCCTACTCGGGACTCTTCCCGGCCACCCAGCTCGTCAGGACTCTCCACAAGCAGGGCTGGTCCCTCTGCCTCGGCACAACACTGTGTGCCACGCAGCTGGTTGTGCGCAAGGGCTGTGCTGTGCTTGCAGGCGGTGCTAGCCCAGCCAGTGCTGTGCAGCTGGGACCTCTCCCCGGAGGGAGCTGGTCCCGCAGGCCCAGACACCCCCTACCCCCCATTCCTGCAAGCACTGGAGGAGGCTTCGAGCTCTCCCTGGCCTGCACTGATCCTGGGCAGGCATCTCATTTCCTGCCTTCAGATCATCATGAGGACAGAGATGCGACTCACTCAGCTGACCAAACCATCACATGCCCCGTTGCCAACTGCAACTTAGCCACATCCTCTGTCATTCCCCCCCTGCCTCTGCCTCACTCGACTCCATCTGGACACCAGTATTCATCACACCCTGGCACTGGGTGCTGTGACCCCCGTGTTATCCAGAGGGAAGCAGCTCAGAAGTCGGGGGCAAGGAACCCAGGAGTCCTGCCTGGTTTCTAGCCAACCTCGCTCTAGCCCCCTCTCTGCCAAAACCGGATAAAACCCAGGAATCCTGATTCCCACCCCGCAATTTAATGCGCTAGATCTTGGCCAGCCCATCTTGCTAATCCTTTCTCCCCCATCCAGGGCTGACCCTGCTCATCCCGTATCTGCTGACGCGCCGGAAGCGTTGGAGCCGCTGTAAAGTCCGGGTCTTCATTAGCGGCCAGCTGGCCAATGCTGAAGAGCAGCGGGAAGAGTAAGGAGGGGACCAGTGGGCAAGGACCCTCTGAGGGTGACCCCCATGCTCTGGGCAGGGGCAACCCCCCCGCCCCCATCTAACCCACCAGATCCCACTCATCTCCCAATGCAAGGATGCTGGTGCCAGACCCCACCGACTTGAACGCATAAAACCCCACATCCTTTCCAGAGCTGGGGTATATCCCAGAGAGAAACGGCCCAGTGGGACTTGGTGCCAACTCCTACTTGCTGTCCAAGCATGGGGCTGGAGAAATCCCTGTGACACATCCCTTCGGGCTGGTGGGTTCTTCCCTGCAAAGGAGTAACCCCCGCTGGCCCCAGTTTGGCCTCTCTCTCTCTCTCTCTCTCTGCCTGATTTCACTCCATCTCCACGGCAGGATCCAGCTCCTCCTCGCCAAGTTTCGCTTGGGCTTCAACGAGGTGGTCGTGCTGCCTGACATTGCCTGGAAGCCAGAAGAGAGCAGGTGAGAAGCCCACTCCTCCCTTCATCCTGCTTCCCCAGTATCCACTTAGCTGAGGGCACTGGGAAGTCCCTCAAACACCAGTTGATGTGAGGAGCGGGCGTAGTGGGCTAGAACAGAGAGTGGGGCCCGTGAGCCAGGGCTGTCACCACCCCTGGAAGAGGAGCGAGGTCAAGCAGGTCTGAGCAGGAGGCGTCGGTGAATCGAGACCCGTGATCTCTTCAGATTCTCTATTGATGCTATTTTGGCCTCAGAGGTGGAGATACAGTCCAGGGGCCCCCAGTCCCCTTAGGAAGCAGGCTACCACTTACCCTACTGTAGTCGGGACCCCCCCGGCTCCATCCCATGGGTCTTGGTGAAGACAGAGCTGTCCCAGCACCCTCCGCTTTGTCTGGCAGCCAGAAGGAGTTTGAGGACCTGCTAGCACCGTACCGGCTGAACGAGGGTCAGCGGGACCCTGAGGCGGTGGAAGCCCTGAAGAAGGAGGCACCCTGGAAAGTGTCGGATGAAGATCTCCAGATCTACAAGAAGAAGGTGAGAATTCGGGGAGCCGGGATGCCTGGGATCTACCCCAGCTCTAGCGGGCAGTGCAATGTCCTAGCAGTCGAGGGCTGCACTAGCAGTGGTCACGGCCCCCTCCCAGCCTCCCTTATTGCACTGCGCTGCAAGCTTCCCCAGCATGGCAAGGGCAGGCAACTGAGCACCTGGACAGCCCCCCCCACTATACCGTATGCACAGGCAGGCCCCCTCCCCTCCCCTCAGCTCCCCGAGCGCTGCAGGCGTGGTCTCCGAGGGCAGGGGCAGGTTGCAAACGCCAGAGAAGGGGGGGGAGCCCAGAAACCCTGGACGCAATGAGGGGAGCAGGGGGGATCACCATGCCAGCCCCTTCATGACCCCTGCTTTGTCCCTCCAGTCTGAGCAGCAGATCCGGCTGCACGAAATCCTGCAGGAGAACTCCCGAAATTCTGCCCTCATTGTCATGTAAGTCCGAGCCCTTTCTCTTCCTCCCCGGGACCGGACGCAGCCCACCCTCCCAGCAGGAAGAGGAACCGTGGGAGGGGGGCAGGACAAGGCGGGGGGTGACTGAGGGCTGCTGGACATGGGCTGGGGCAGATTGAACTGCCCATAAAGGTCTGGGAGGGTTCCTTATGGGAGAGAGCTCTCCTTCCCCAGAGTCCCTTTCATACAGGGCAAAGAAAGGACGGAGTTTGAAGGTGGGAGCTAAAGAAAAGACCTTTCTTGTAAGGAAAGGGGAGCGGGACATCCCCCAAGAGCACATTCAAATGCTGCGGTTGGCAACGTCTCAGAGCCACGGGCTGGAACAACCAGGCTGGCAGCTAAGGCGGGATGGGGAGCTGGTGCTCTTCCCTGCCACCTCTCCTTACACCTGAAATGCAGGGACAGCAAAGCCCCCGGCCAAAGAAGCCCTGCCGGCTGCATGAGCTGGACCCGGTGGAACTGCTGTATGTTGTCAGTCCCTATTGTAAAGGATCTGAAACAGGCAGGCACTGCCATTTTCAAAATGAATTGTTTCCGGGTTGTTTTTTTTTTTCTGTGGGTTGAAAGTCCCTTCTTGATTTTTAAGCATTTTAACAAGCTGCAAACCCAAATGCAGCAGGTCAGTTTTGTCAAAATAAAACACCTCAATAGCCTTTTCTCTGCTAGAGACATCTCTCAGGGTCAAAAAAAAAAAATCCCTTTAAATTCTATTGTTAAAAGCTCAGCAGCTGAACCCCATTTGTACCAAATGAGGAAGTTCAGACTTTTTTTTTTTTTTTTTTTGAACTGGCAAACATTCAAAAAAAAATGCTTGTTCTCAGGAAAGAATATTTTTCCCACAAAAATGTCAGGGTGTGTCCAGCCATGTGGTGCGGCCACGATGCGGACCATGGAATAAAAAATAAATAAATGGAGTGGATATATAATGCGTGACTTGACACCTGTGTAAAACTGCTCCTCTCCCGGGCAAAGTGACTTTGCTCCAGGAAGTGGGGAGCAGCTACACGCAGATGTAGCAGTCGCGTGTCTGCTTGCTTACTCTACATTTCATTCTGGAGTAAGTCCAGGTTTTCCTACCATCTATCGGCCAGTTTCTGTAATAGCCCGCCTGCCTGGGAGGACTGGCTGCATGTCTGCTGTAGTGCTTACCGTGCAGGGCAGGGCTGTCCAACGCCCTGCACCGCACGGCCCTGCTCCCTGGGCAGGAGGCAGCAGCCCGAGGAGGGAGACCAGAGACACCAGTGGAGCGATAGGGGACCGGGGGCCACAGCGTAACCCCTTGTGGGCTGCATGCGGCCCATGGACTGTCATCTGGACGGCTCTGATCCAGGCTGTGGACACCAGGTACAGACGCGTGCCTTTGGGGCAGCACTTTCCAAAAGGGCAGCAGCTGTTCCTGTCCCGTGTGGACACACAGGGGGCAGGTACACATGTAGCAAACCTGCTCCAGTTTTCACCCAGGCTGAAGCATGTCGGAGCTGAGCCATTTCAGCTTGTCTGAGCCTAACACCTGGGTGCAAACACATGCAGCAATTGACCTGTTCGCAAACGTTCCTGCTTTGGACCCGGGTCACACTTGTGCATAAAGTGCAGTGGCTCCAATACCAGGGGGGAGAGCGAGCACCCAGCCCACTGTACCTCGTAGTGGGTGAGCCGGGGAGTGCTCGGACTCCTGTTTTGGGGGTTCAGGGGGTGATGCATGCTCATTTTTCGGATTTCCCCTTGCTTCCCAGCATGAGTTCAGTAAAACTCAGCAGCCTGCACCCGACTGAACTCTGCAGTGTGCTTGCCAGGGAGGGGGAAACGCTTGGACCTACACTTCCAGGGTGCCAGGGTCTGGGGGGAACATAAGGGGGCCACTACTGAGTATGGAGTGAGGACAGAGCTGGTTGTTAACACGACAGCTTTGATAGAACAAGCAGCGCAAGGAAGCTCATTGATAAAAAGGGCTAAAAAGACAGAGAGAAAAAGGGAGGGCAGGAGAATTTGGGCCACATAGAGCAGCCAGTTACAAGGTGGGTGGGGGACTGGGGAGCAATGCAATGTGGGATGTCTGGAGGACTGAGCAGAGCTGCATGTGGAACACTTGGGGCCCACGTGTGAGCTGCTCCAAGTCCAAGCTAGTGCTCCGTTTTCCGGGCATGCTCTCGAACCATTTCAGGCAGCTTGAAAAGGCTTGTACAGATGTATGATTCAGGTGCGATGTGTGCCTACACCCAAATAGCACAGAACAGCTGTCGCCCTTTGGAAACGTTCTCCAACAGCTCCAAGTGCCCGCGTGTCCGTACCCAGGCAGAACAACTGACACGTTTCTAAGTAAAATGCACTTGGAAGCGTTTTAGCCCAGGGTCATGCATGCACCCCCACTTGAGCTGGTCAGTGAACCTAAAATGCCACCTTTTGCCTAGTGTCACATGAGGGGATGACCTGGTGCTAGACCTGTCTGGAGGACACCGCTTTAAAAGAAGCCCTGCCCTAGGCCCTAAATGCGAGAGGTGATGGAAGAGATGACCAGTGTCCTTCCCCCATTCATAACTGCTTCTGCCCTCCTTCCAGGAGCCTGCCTGTGGTACGGAAGGGAGCCTGTCCCAGCGCACTCTACATGGCTTGGCTGGAGATCCTCTCCCGGGACCTGCGCCCACCCATCGCCTTCATCCGAGGCAACCAGCAGGATGCCCTCACGTTCTACTGCCAGTAGCGGCAGCTTGGCAGGAGGGGAGAAGGGACTGACGGGAAAAACGGGGTGCAGCCAAGAGGGAGGGGCGAGGAGCCAGGACATAGGAGTTCTGTGCCAGTGCTGGGAGCAAAGTCTTGTTGGATTATAGCAGAGTCTGGACTGCAAGCTCTGACTCCTGGGTTTTATCACCCAACTTTGGGTCCATTGGGTTAGACCGGGGCCGGTGAAGGTGCTGGGAGACGGGCCCCCTGAGTTTTGTCCCCAGCTCTGGAGGAAAGTGGAGGCCAGGGGTCCTAGTGACTGAAGCAGGGTGGGAGGGCTTCAGAACCAGGACTCCTGGGTTCTGTTCCAGCTCTGGAAGCGGGGTGTAGCCTAGCGAGTTGTGCACTGGGGCTCAGCACCTGGCCCTAGCAATGAAGTAACTACGATTCTCTGCACTGACCAGATATCTGCAATATGACGACACCCATTAGGCAGGATTCAGGCCTCTCTAAGAGGGCCAGGCCTCTCTAAGACAATGCAAGCACGAAGCTGTTGTACCCCAGCCTGTTTAGCCTGCTCTCCGACAGCCTGCTGGTGGAGGGGTAACTGAGCCCTTAGTCCACTCCTCTCCCTCCCTCTTTTTGTGTACCCAAGTGGGACCTGCTGTAAATATTAAATATTCTTATTTAAAAGCACAGAAGCCTTGTGTTTGAGGGCTGACTCAATGTGACCCAGCGAGGCTTGTTGCACTGAACAAAGTTGAGAAGTCAGGCTGAGACTGGCAGCAACTCGTACCCCAAGTCAAGGCAAATTTTGCTGGATGCCAGGGGGAAGCCCCTTGCCTTTGTGCCCATGCAAGGGAGGAAGGAGGTCAAAACAGCTACAAAAGCCAACTGCTTTATTCAGAACTTAAACAGCCCCAACCTGGGACCCGGAGGGAGCCCAGCACCTTGAACTGGAATAGCTCCCAGCTGTGCCTCTTCTGCACCTGGCTCCAAGTGTCTCTGGATGCAGCAGCTGCTGCCAGAGGCCGCCTTGCTCAGCATGGCCAAGTTGTTAATCACGCCAGGTCACCTCTACTTCATCTGTGCGGTACCTACAAGGCACAGACAGGCACATGTAGATGCAGGGGTGCCTGTACCCTGTGCCCACTTGGTTCCAGGCTCCCCCAGCACTGAGGACCCCCTGTGTCTACTGCTCGGCCCCTACTCCCTCAGGCAGCCTGGTCAGTGAGTGAAGGGAATGACGGTTGTGGCTGTCTTGAAACCAGCTTGCCTCCCACTGGAAGGCTGGTCCCAAAGCCTCGCTGCTTCAACTGGTAATTTCCCATCCATGTTTATTCCTGGTCAGTTCAACCCCAATTACTACCAAGAGAAGAGCTCTTCTCCCTCTTGGGTGTTAACTAGATCCCCCTCTTGGCCTTTGTTTTACCAGGTTAAACCAGCCGTGCTCTTCTTGCATCTTTCCACCCCCTAACCCTCCCAGCAGCCCTTCTTTGCATGTACGCTAAATCACAATTATCAGCTTTGTATGTGGGTGACCACAACTACACACCAGAGCCCTGATGAGGTCTTACTAAGGGACCATGCAATAAACAGCACTGATATTTCCCTGTCTTTGCTGGAAGTATCTTGCATGCCACCCTCATCCCATACCTTTGTGTAATCCAGGAATCCTCCAGCGTGGTCACCTGTCCTGAACGAAACATCTCCCAGCCAGCCTGAGCAATCATGGCCCCGTTATCAATACAGAACCTGGGTGAGATGAGAGGCGAGAGCTCCTAGAGGCAGCAGACAGTGGGGTCGAAAGGGCTGGAGAAGGACCAGAAGGCAACGCTCCTAGGCTCGACCCCAGCTATGGGAAGGGAGTACAGCCTAAAGAGTTACACAGGAAGGGAGGAGTGGTGCAATCTGAAGGCCTAGATTCCCAGGTTTCATCACTGGCTCTAGATGTGGGGGACAGGTAAAGACCCCAAAGCCCTCATAACTTTGAGGGCCTTCCTTGTTTCCAGCTGAACAGGGCAGACTTCACTCTTGCCAAAAAGCTGTCTCAGCCCGATGGGAACCCTGAACCACAGAGCTTGCTCACTGTGGTGTGGCACATGCTAGGGTCTGCCTCTGCTCACTGCTGGTCTTTACCTCTCATCTGTTGCAAACAGCTTGGCCCCTCGCTCTTCACACATGATCCCCATCATCTCCTGCAGCCGCAGGTTACCTGGTGGGGAGAGAGGGCAGGGTTAGAGTCCAGCCGGGTCAAGGTTCCTGTGTAAAATCACTGGCCACAAGTGACACAAGTCAGAGTGACTTCAGCTCCGTTCAAATGGGCAGTCTGGTGCCACCGGTGGCAAGTGCCCTCCCAATCATAGCCTATCTCCAGGTCCCCTCACCCCCATATGTAGATGACATGGTACATGACAGATCCAGTAATGCATCCTGGGTAGCTAAGAGACCCCTGTAAAATGGCAGGCAGAGAGGGGTACGACAGCATCTGAAAACTGTTGCCGGGGACAAAGCAATTCTGGGGTTCATGGGGAGATCTGTTCATGGGGCAGGTGCTTAGCTGCAGGTTATGTACGCAGAAGGGAATTTGGCATCACCGTGCCCAGGGTGCTCTGTGCTGGGGATCGAGAGGGTGCAGTCTGGAGGAGATTCTTGGGAAGACAGCACACTGGGGGGCTTGACTGCCGTGGGAGCAAGCAGGACTGGGGGAGGGAGGTAGATCTCCGGCTGTGCGATGTATCCTCACCCCCACAGGTACCTACAGCCAACTCCGCCCACAATGAGCACCTCCTGGGAGCCGCAGTGCGCCATGGCCCGCTCCGTGATCTCCACCAGCATCGCAAACACCGTCTCCTGGGGTGAGGGATACGACGTACGCGTCTTCAGCACTGCCCCTCACTACGCTCCAGCAGCTCCCTGCTGGCCCAGGCTCCCTCCTCCACTTCCCCACAGCCCCGGCACTGCCTCCCATTCCCGCTGGCTCAGGCTCCCTGCACAGCGCAGACGACAGTGCCCTTTGCTCCTGACCTATAGTCACTGCTAGCCCGGCTCTGGGCTCTCTCCCCCCTGACCCATAGCCCCTATTTGGGCAGGGCAGCTTCTCACCTGGAGGGAGAAGCAGAGGTCCTCAGGGGTGCACTCTCCTGATGCCAGCATCTTATGAGACACTTCCTGCAGGGGCAGAGAGAGGGAGTGAGGGCTGCTGCATCCTATCCCCCAGATCTGGACGGGCAGTGGGATCTAGTGGTTTGGAGCCAGGACTCATGGGTTCTTCACCTCTATGTGGGATAGGATCCCTGAGAACGACACATCCATCCCCTTCACCGTGTAGGGCAGCTCCACCAGCTTCTGACCTCTGTGGAGAGAGGAGACCGTCTTACTGCCCTCCTGATGATCTTCCGAGGTCCCTTCCAGCCCTAATGTCTATGAAATCTATGAAACGCTGGGGAATCTCAGCTCCCAGCCTCCCCTGCTCTACCCCACCGTAACCCCCTCTGCCAGCGTCTCTCGGCAGCTGGGGGGAGGCTCCCAGCTGCTGGGCCCTGCCCCCACGTGGTCCAATCCACCAGGCCTCGTGCCTTGCCACTCACTTCTTTGCCATCTGCTCAATGTTGTAGCCAGGACTGGGGTCATTGGAGATCTAAAACAGACAACAAACAAGGGATAAGTTTGCCGATGGGAGCGCGGTGGGACTGCAGTTAAGTCAGTGGCCCTCCCTGCTTCTTCCCACCGGTCCATAAGCAACCTCTGCACTGTCCTCTTCGCCCCTCGTTAGTATCCTACCAGATCTCCCAGAAACTCACGCGGGGCATTTACATTAACACACGGGCGTCAAATACGCAGCCCTATCGTCCAGCCCTGGGTCTGAATCGAGGTTCGGCCCTGAATCGAGGGCCGCGGGGGGCGGATAAATATGACTTTTCTAACTGTTTTAGGGGCCCGCGGGGACGGCCCCGTCCCTTCTCGCCTTGAGCACGCGGGCGAAGCGGTCCAGGCAGTTGCCCACGGCGATGTCGATGGTCTCCCCGAAGATGCGGTAGCGGCGCTGCGAGTACGCGATGACCTGGGGGCGGGAGGAGAGGCCGGTGAGGACGG